GATTTGAGCATCTGCCTGGCCAGTTGCTCTGTCTGGTCCTTCTGTTGTGGCTGCAACCACAGCTTTTTTTTTTTTTGTGCAAATTAAATCTATGCTCCTACTATTTAAGTACATTAGTCTGAGCCTCGCTCAAGACCGACAGCATGTACACTGAAGAGATTGTCCATCCTCATCTTCTGACATAATCTATCACTGTACTAATGTCAGACATTATTGTCAAAAAAATAAAATACCTCATGTTGTTTTAGACACTCAGACATGTCTGCTGTTTGGTTTGTGCTGGCCAGAGGTAATTTAGCACCTGGCAGGAAACGTTTCACCAGGAGAAAAAACTAAATACACAGATAGTTTAAATTGCCTGAAAAGTGTGTGCATGATTGCAAGAAAGGGCGAAATGTTAGAAAAGAGAGTGAAAAACGGACAGTGACAGACTCTTCTCTAGTATTTACCCTTTGTTATTGTGAAAAGGGACTTGTCATCTCCAAACCAACACCTATAATAGCCCTGACAGCAAGGTCCGGGAAATTGTGTCAGTTTGTCGTTGTTTTTTGGAGCATAGTGCAGAATGTACAACAACTGAGACACTAGATTTGATGAAGACACCTGCAAAGCCAGAGTAAAATCTATGGATCATAGATGCTCACTTGATTCCACACTGACCCAACTATCCCCACATTATTTAGCTTTCAGTACTTGATTGTGAACAACTTGATTGTTGACTGAGAACGGGGCACAGGAACTGGCCAAAAGCAATTTAAGACTGTGATGGAAATAGTCATCCGTGCTCACTCAGCAAAACTCAACTAAAGCTTTAAAAATTGAGCTACAGATTTGTTTGTCTTCAGAGCTGTCAGAAAGCCTGTAAGGCTTCTTACAGTTTAATGTCTGTTTGTTTGGTTATTGTTTGTTTTGCGGTGCATGCCTTAAGCATTTTATGTCCATTTCCCTTCTGTCTGACTTGTCAGTCACAGATTGGGTGTAATATGTGGTGCCAGTGCTTCACCTCGTTTACAGCTACAGTGGGTACGGAAAGTATTCAGACCCCCTTAAATTTTTCACTCTTTGTTATATTGCAGCCATATGTTAAAATCATTTAAGTTCATTTTTTTCCTCATTAATGTACACACAGCACCCCATATTGACAGAAAAACACAGAATATTTGACATTTTTGCAGCTTTATTAAAAAAGAAAAACTGAAATATCACATCGTCATGAGAATCTTATTTCTCACCATCTTGGAGTCCTTCAGGTGTTTTTTAGCAAACTCCATGTGGGCTTTCATGTGTCTTGCACTGAGGAGAGGCTTCCGTCGGGCCACTCTGCCAAAAAGCCCCGACTGGTGGAGGGCTGCAGTGATGGTTGACTTTCTACAACTTTCTCCCATCTCCCGACTGCATCTCTGGAGCTCAGCCACAGTCATCTTTGGGTTCTTCTGTACCTCTCTCACCAAGGCTCTTCTCCCCCGATAGCTCAGTTTGGCCAGACGGCCAGCTCTAGGAAGGGTTCTGGTCGTCCCAAACGTCTTCCATTGAAGGATTATGGAGGCCACTGTGCTCTTAGGAACCTTAAGTGCAGCAGAAATTTTTTTGTAACCTTGGCCAGATCTGTGCCTTGCCACAATTCTGGCTCTGAGCTCTTCAGGCAGTTCCTTTGACCTCATGATTCTCATTTGCTCTGACATGCACTGTGAGCTGTAGAGTCCTATATAGACAGGTGTGTGGCTTTCCTAATCACGTCCAATCAGTATAATAAAACACAGCTGGACTCAAATGAAGGTCTAGAACCATCTCAGGGATGAGCAGAAGAAATGGACAGTTAAATATATGAGTGTCACAGCAAAGGGTCTGAATACTTATGACCATGTTGTATTTTCTGCTGCTACAAGTTTTTCTCCTGCTTGTATAGTACAATGATTAGAGCTAAAGCATTACAGCAGACTGCAGAGCACTGACATGGACTTCTATGTAGCTTGTTTCTCAGTTACCAGGACCACAAATTGTATAAGAGTTATCTGCAGCCTTAAATCAAACTGAATATGAACAGTTCACCCTCAAAGATGCAAACACTGGTGATCATTAGAAAACTTACCTTAAAATCATCACCCTTTCTATACATTGAAATTTTCCTCTTCTCTGTATCCCTCCCAGGGCGGATATAAAAAATTTTGGACGGGGTGTCCAGGCTGAGCCACAGACTCTAAAAGGGGTGGCACATTTAAAACACATAAAAAATAAATTAAATCCCTCGCTTTATGATATAGTCAACCATACACTATTAAGAATCAAGTTCTTTATTTTGTGTAAAAATGTCACACACAGTGCTTTCTTTGGCTAACGTCTCTCGCTCCTTATTTACTCCAGGCCGGAGACATCGCTGCTGCAAATCATGCCAAGTCCTCCACAACAATGCAATCAGAGAAATGAATGCAAATATCATGCTGCATGCATGATATAAAATAAAACTAATTTATAAAGCAAAGAAAAAGGTTTGTGCTTCAGGCAACAATTTCATAGGTTTTTTTTTTTCATTCATTAACACTAACAAACATCACATTTTGTCTCTGGCAGGGGTGGCACCAGTGGTGGCCAGTCAGACTGTGGAAGTGGCCAGGGTTGGCTCTGGCCATGTCTCTCTGTAAAAACCAAAATACCATGGCTGTTTGCATCACTTAATATTTCATCACAGAGCACTAAGTATCCATTATCACAATACTGTGGTTCATTGTTTCTCTCTATTCTCTCACAGAATAGTATAAACTACTCTTGCTGAAATGTGTTGAGTCTGCTTATTTCATTACTACACAATCATCTGTTTGTAATTATTGGCAGGACTGTTAAGAGGAACAGATGGTGGCCTGATGTCTGATGAGACTGATCAAATCAATGACTGTATAATTCCAGTCCTAATTTTATTAAAAAAGAACTGAACATGTCTGTTTTTCACCCATGGCTAATAAAATTTAGATTACAGCTGACTGATGTGCTTCAACATTTCTTACATTTACAAAGTTATTTATTGAGCTATATGCTCTCAATTCTTTCCCTGATTAATTTACAGGTGCACTTCAAACAGCTCTCACGTGAGCTGGGAGACTCTTACTGGTCAAAGCAGAACTGACATGTATGGTGTCACTGTGCTTGTTATAACATGAAGAACAACATAAAATGTTCTTTGGTTTGCTTCACGATCCTCTAAAGCACCATGTTGCCCACCATTTTGAGCAAAAGAGTGTAACTATTGATTTTAACAACACTACAAGGTTAAGGCCCCCTGAAGATTGCTCACTGTAACTTGTCCCAAACATGGGGTGTATCTATACACGTTTACTCCTAGGACCATGTCTGTGAAATCAAATGATCTTGCTGTAATTTTGCATCCCAGAGGCCAGAGGCCATATTTCTTTTGTCAGTTCAATACTTTTTTAGACTGGGATAGCAGAAACACAACTACTAAAGTTGGATCTATTTTTTTAAAACACTACTTTGCTCACATAATAATACTGTGGTGTGTTCCAAGTAAATAAACATAAAGAAAACCAATTGCAGTTAGTGATAAACAGAAGCAATAGAGCCAATTCACTCACTATCATTTTATGCAACCCTCAAAATAAGAGCACAGGTATCTGTGATAGGATGAGATAGAAGGATGTTTGTGTGCCCCCTTGCCTCGGGCTTGTTAAATTGGCAGATCAATGATGCTTTAAATCAATGTTCCAGCAAAACTGCAAAGCCTGTGGAACCCATTAGTGGATTAAGATAGACCACTGTTCCACACTGAGTCCTGTTCTGCCTGCAGGTCCTTTTCACATGACAAATGGGAGGAAAAACTGTGAAATAAAACAAAGGGAAACGGGCATATGAGTGGGTGAGAGCAAAAGCTGTGGTGGAGGAAAGCTTGACAGCAAAGACTGGGGTCAACAGTAAGGACACACCTGTAGCTCTCCTTCATCTAGAGTCAGGAAATAGTCTTGTTTCTTACTGTAGACATGGGGTCTTCTCTGAAATCAACCAGCACTTTGTATGTTTTTTTTCCAAGCACAGGAGAAAATCCTGGCAGCCATGAATAGCATGTTCTACATGCAAAGTAGTCTGTCTCAGCCAGTAAGCAGAAAAGGCAACAGAGTAGGAAGGCATGTGAAGGATGTAGGAGAAATGGGGGTTGTGGAGAGAGGATGCCAGTGGAGCTGGTCTTTCTCTGATAGCATTGTTTATGTGCCACTGTCTGTAGATTATTGATCCATTCATCTTCATTACATCTTCCTGTGAAAACTATTAACTGCTGCTGCCCTCAGTTGGATGCCTGCTAAGTTGACATGCACTGCACAATCTCTTTACCAGTCCACTAATGTCCCTGTTACCTCCCCTCTTGGAACTAGAAGCTGACAGTTTTATAATAATAATAAAAAAAAAGACAGAGGATCAGACCTAAGGATCTTATATTGGCATTTAGTGGATTTGGGCTGTTGATCATGGAGGTACAGGTAGGTAATAGAATATCACTGCCATCGGTACAGGTGTGGTTGGTTCTGTCTGCTTTATCCTGAAAGCCTCATTTCTGACCCATATATTGTATGTTGCATAAGAATGAATCAAACATCCACCCCCTCATGCTCATTTGAAGCATGGTTACATTTTTGCAACAGAATTCAGCATTGTACAGTATATGAAGTAGAAGCATAGTTGGGCTCTCCTACCTGCAGATGTCCCCCGAGAAACATCCTGCACCAACTCCTCCCCCTCAACCACTTCTACTCATAGGAAGATAAACAGCAGTAGTTTCAGCTGCACCCCATGACTCTAATCGATTGGCAAGATCACTTCAACCTCACTGTGACAAGTTTTACTTGTACTTGATGTACAGTGTTATTTTTGAGTAAATATTGTTGCCTTCTGAACTGCTTGATCTTTCTCTGTCCTCTGTCTGTACATGTCCTCCTCTTCTCCTTTCTATTTCTTTTTTCTTGGCCTTCATCTTCATTTCTGTCTCATTTGAACTGAAGGACAAGGAGAAACAGAACATGGTCTACTGTGGCGGCTGCTGTTGCTATGTGTGAAGGAGTGCTGTGGCGTCAATGGAGACCGAAGGCTATCGTGACCTCCTGGAGACCAGCGATGGTCAGGGGGTAGGCCTGCTGGATAGAGTGGGTGAGGTGGGTGTGGAGGAGGGCTGGAGCACACCCTATCCTCTGGGCTTCCAGGTGTCTTTGACCACCGTGCTGATGCTGGAGCTGGTGCTGGGCTTCAGCAGCAACCTGACCGTACTTGTGCTTTACTGTGCCCAGTCCAACCTGGTGGATTCAGTCAGCAACCTGGTCACAGTCAACCTCCATGTGCTGGACATACTGGTCTGTGTGCTGTGTCTGCCGCTGACTGTGGCCGTGATCCTGCTACCAGCTAATGAAAGTGGAGTCGGCAGCCTGGCCACGCTGTGCTGCTTTCATGAGGCCTGTGTTACATTCACCAGTGTGGCCACAGCAGTCAATGTGCTGGTGATAAGTTTGGACCGTTACGACATCTCAGTGCGTCCAGCCAGTCGTCTGTTGACTCCCCGGCGTGCAGTACTGCTCCTGGTAGCGGTGTGGGCTGTGTCTCTTGCTGTGTTCTTCCTGCCCTTTGTTGAGGGGGACTTCTTCACTTCAAGGGCTGAGGATGAGGATGACGAGCCTGAAAGGCAGAACAATGACTTGGACTTCACCACTGGACTGAGTCCCACATTTTCCTCCCTATCTCCTTCCTTATTCCCCTCAATTCACCCCTCCTTCCCTTCACATCACCTGCCTCCAGTATGGCAGAATAGGACATTACTATGTGTTGGAGGGCAGGGGTATTACACAGGCCTGGCTATGTATTACCACTTGTTAATCCAAGTGCCCTGCTTCTTTGTTGCTGTGGCTGTCATGTTGTTCACCTACTCCAGGATCCTACAAGCCCTCAACATCCGCATTGGTTCCCACATGATGAGGAGTTCACGTTCAAAGGACTCTACCTGCAGGATACGCTGCAGGAGACAGAAGAGGAAGAACCTCAGCCTGCCTAGAGAGGGAGTATCTTCAAACCAGAACCAGAACCTCAGCCATCCTCCCCTTATTCCTTCTCCAACCCCTACACCAACATCACCTCCTCCACTCTCCTCCATGCCCCAAGGGATGTCTGACAGTGGAGCAACAGTGACTACTGTCAGTACTGCTGCCACCACCCCCATCGCAACCACACCAGCCACCCCTGCTTCTCCAACACCAGCTTCGGCCTCAACCCAGACCCGTGCCACCACACCACTGCCTGCCTCCTCCATGGGTGTCCAGGCCTCAGTTTCAGCAATCATAGCCCTGAGGCGGGCAGTGCGCAGACACAGGGACCGCCGTGAACGTCAACGCCACGTCCTAAAAATGTCCCTAATCATCATATCCACCTTCCTGGGCTGCTGGGCCCCTCTGTCTGCAGTCAATGTTCTGATCCTGTGTTTGGGTCCCAGTGACAGCCTGGTACGGCTGCGTCTCTGCTTCTTGGCAATGGCTTATGGAACTACCATTTTTCACCCTCTGCTCTACGCTTTCACAAGGCAGAAACTGCGTCGCGCCTTCAAAACACGTGTCAAGAAGAGAGTAGTGTCCCTTCTGCAGGTGGACCCAGCTCCCAGTGGGGGGGCAGTTATTCATAACTCCTGGGTGGAGGGGGGAGGCCCGAGGAAGAGTCGCAAGCCACGGGGGGAAGCAAGTGATGGCACGGATCGATGCCTCACAGAAGCAGTGAGGGAATGAGGCTGGTCTTCAGTGTGTGTGTGTGTGTATGTGAGTGTGGGTGTGAATTTGAAGAATTGTATGTATCTTACCAATTTGCTAGAGATGAATCCTGTCGACATGGGTGTGAGAAAAATGAGAGCCAGTTAGTTTAAATAGGTCAAGACGAATCCCGTGACCTCTGGTTCCATGCAGATGTGGGGATAGATAAGTTTGGAGCTGTAATTAGGCCCAGCTTTCTGTCCTCCTTACAATGATCCTCATTAGTCCATTTCCTGACTGAAAATGTGGCCATTAGGTCTCCTTGGCAATACTGGCCAAACATTATGACATCTCCATAGCCATGGTTATACTGAAAATACTAGTGTGCACCACATGTGTGAGGTTAGATGACAGCAAATGCAAATATGATTGTTCTTGTGGGCACTTTCAGTTTGCATGTGCATCCACACATGCACAGATAAACATAAACATACATACAGTACAAACACTTACACATACATAGGGCTTTATTTTCCTGAAACAGGGCACAAAGGCATGTCTAAACCCCAGGGGAAGGTGCGTATTGGTGCGTCCAACAATCTTTTGGTATTTTGGTGACAGCAAATTCTGGCAGATCAGTTGTAAATGTAAGGGTTTACTTTAAGTTGGTGTGGCCATTAGAATACATCTGTCCATGTGCTTCCTAGCCTAGACTGTTCTAAGGAAAATTGCCATGTATGTACCTGTGTTTGGGATAAAATGCGCTCTGAGCAGTCTTTAACACAAACACAAATTATGAGCACCAAATTTGCACTCAATGCGGCATCAGCTGCACCTCTCCCCGCACTGCAGTGTGGGTGCATTCATTCATGGCAGGTAAATACCAAACACGCCAATGTGCAAAAACAGACCTATGCCCGAGGCAAACTTCAAAAAGAGAGTTTGAAGCTATGCTGACTTTGCGTTGGCAGGAAAATAAAACCCCAACACTTATTGCACACTGATCTATATTTGGTCATTATCTGTGAAAGCACACAATATCTACCTGCACAGATAATCTCAGTGAGGAAAAAAATAGTAATTGAAGTTTATATTTCTCCTTCTTTCCCTTATTTTTCATGCCTTAATTGAGTTATTAATATATTTGCATGGTGCTGAATGTCCTGCTGTACGTTTACAACAATGTATCAGAGTGAACATGTTGTTACATACTGTATATGAAATAGCAGATTAATAGAAGGTAAATGCAAGCAGTGAGATTCAAAGTTTACAAGTTCACACACCAGAAAACTGCAAAAAACTGATTTTGTTTCCACTGAGCACCATATTCTAGAAGAATGTGTGCAATTTAAAGATAAAAGGCATGACTTTTTTTTTTAAACATAATCTAACAGTTATAGGTAAGGATGTTTGTGTGACTGTGGTTTGCATATATGCATATATGCATGTGTGTTTGCGTGTGCAACATGGGGTGTGGCTGCATAAATTAATGAACAAGTGTGTGCATCCAAGATTATGTGCAATAAACTATGGGCAAAGCAATGACCCCTAGGATGTGAACAAAGAGAATGTGAACACAGAATAGTTTTTTCTATTTATGCTTTAGATTACAGGGGGAAGAGAGAGAGGGGACTTAGTCTTCTGATTAACAGCAGGAGGCCACTGGGCATAATATAAAACTAATTATGTGGAGCAGTTGTAACTATGTGTATATGACAGGCCACTGTAATATTACTGAAACTGTATCACTTCGGTTTTAAAGCGGAAATCAAAGGGCAATATTTTGTGAAAACCATTAGCACTGTCTCTGTAGTCAACACTGGTACTAGTGTCCTAAACCAGAGAAATGATAACATGCAAAAACAACCACTGACATGGGGCATCTCATGTTACAGTAGCTGTTTGTTGATCTGGAGGGCAGAGTCGCTGTTTTTGGATGGCACTTACAATGACTGCAGAGACAGACCTCTGTCAGCTTCTCGACCGAGTCCTGACTGGTTACATCATATCTGTGTCTCTCTTTCTCCTCAGGGCTTCATGTCGCATTTCTAGATGTGCTTTACATAAACCACTAAACCAGCCCTCAAACAACTATTCTGGACATGTATTATGGGTGTCACAGTAGGTAAAGTTTTATGTCATAAGTAGATAGAGTACACTTTGAACTTTGTATGGACTGGGAGAGATCCTTGAGCTTTGGGTTGTCTCCTCTTTCATCTCACCCCTTTTACACTATTTGTGAGCCAGACAGAAGAAAAATAATTCTTGTGTATTCATGTATATTTTTCAGGGATGTAAATATTGAAGTGTATGATTTGGGGTTTACTCCAAAAAAATCATTAAAACTTCTTTGGTCACAATCATCTGCCGGACAGAAAATCAGCTATTGTGATAAAGTTCGAGTGAGCTGGAAAGTTACTGTGAAGAGAAGATACATGTAAATGTATTTGTGTTAATATGTGTACTGTATATTTATGATCATGTGTATAGAGAAATATTAGTATTGTAAAATATTTATATTATGTGTTATTGTATAGAACAGACTATAATCTGTATTAAAAAGGTGATCTATCTAAAGAATTGATCTATGTCAGTTCAGTGTGTCAAATCATACATTTCATGTTCAGTGCATTTGTTTTTGCTGGTATTTTTACTGATAAATGTAAGTACACAGGAAAAGCCATTATACAACATTTATATGTGTCTGTAGATTTTTTTTTTTTTATCTGTTATATTTAAAAATGTGAAGCCTTTTTAAGAAGTCTGGCTTTCCATCACAAGTACAGCTCTGTATCTACAGGTTTAACGGGGAACTGCATGGATTCTTCCTACTCCAGATTCCTCACTCCATCTCTCATCCTTTGTACCTTACTGCCCGAATCTGAACTTCTTTTGTCAGTTGTCCCTGCCTTTCTGTACATCTCCTGTTTCCACTCCCTGTTTCTTTGATCCCCAAATTTAGAAACTCTGTCCCAGATACTTGCAGTGTTTAGTGCTGACTGTGGTGAACCCTCACTAGTCTCAGCCTCATTGTGATGGGACACCCATGCTAGTCACTAGTACTAAGGAAGATGAAACTTGTGAGGCAGATAAACATCTGTCAAGGCGGTTCAGTCTCTTGATGTCAACACTTAATTGTTTATTTTACCAGAACGATGTGAACAATGCATCTGATGTGTGTGAGTGTTTGTTACAATGTAGACTCCTCCATCCTGCTTGATAATCTCATCAGTCATCTCTTCTTTCATACCCCAGTGTCTTCCCTTGGTTCTCCTTCTCTTTATTTCCCCCAGTATTCATCTCGGTCATCTCTTATCCATATACAGGCTTTTCAGAACAAAGAAAGGAACCGCTGTACTGTCTGTGAAAGAAGGAAAGTCACCTTGGGGGCTGGCAGATGAACAAAAATGTGAGAGAGTGATGGAGAGAGAGAGAGAATGAGAGGGGAGATTAAGAAGATGCTGGCATCCGGACATCATACTGTATGACAACCAAAGGACAGCACTGCATCGCTGCAGAATCCTTTAAGAAAAACAAGAAAAACAAATACTAATGGTAAGTACAGAATGATAGGAATAGGGAGCTCCACACTTTTCTACCACTGATGGCACAGCAGAGTCCCACAATATTGCTCCAGCCTATCATACCGTGAAAATATGTTCATGTTTGGGTATTGTCCAAAAAGCACACAAGTCTGAATGGCCAACAAGGACAGTAAGTATTTAATGTCCCCTCTTTTGTGATTTATGACAAATCATTCAACCTTTTTGACAAAGGTTTTGGCCATTGTTTCAGCTGGATGGATGGCAATATAAAACACACTGGCAGTGCTTTGATAGGTCTGACTGTACTGGTCTCAGATCTTGTAGCGGCCTTCTGATTAGACCAACTGTTATCTGATACTAAGATGTTTAAAGATACAGTTCTGATGTTCAAAGAGCACACTAAATGTAGACTTCTTAGGTAGCTGGAAGGGCATGCTGATTTGTCACAAAACACAAATAATAGGTTATGTATATGTGTATATATAGCCTACCCTTCATACTGTTAGTATGTCAAATATGAAATGTTTGGTAAAATTTATTTTAAATTCACTGCATTTGTGTAATTATACATGGCTATATGTGTCTACATTATGGAGTAGGCCAATGGCATTATAATTATAAATGTTTTATTTAAAAAAAAAAAATCTTGATATCCTAAATTTAATTTCACAGCTACTAGACAACTTTTTTTTTTTAAATGCCTAAAAGGCTATTTAGACTAATCTAATTGAGATAAAGGCCGTTGATAGTGCATCACAACTGCGGCAAGGTTACTAGTGAAATGACCAGTAAAAGCCCACCAAGACGCTGGATTTCGGTCCTGTACGATTTTACTTATAATCTATTGTTATTTTCAACAGTGGTTCACAGTAATGGCAGGCAGCGTTTTAAGATCACCAATGGCGCCACCTTGTGTTCAATTGCAATAACAACTCCAGTTCAACACGGATAAGTAAGGCTCGGTATTTCTCTCATTCATGATTTCTCCACAGCTGTTTTCCATCGTCCTTGCTGTAGCCCATAATGTTATCTTTTCTGTTTCGTGTCATTTGTTCTCTTAATTGATTTAGAACCACGGTAAATCCATGTTTTTCAAGCTAAGGTGACGCCGACCGGTGGCGTTACCAGTGTTCAATTTAGCTGGGGACGGCTATACCGTAAGGAGAAGAAATGTTGAAAAACACACTAACAACACCAAATATACTTATATAAATAACTAAACTAGATCGGGAACAATAGTCTATATAAGGTGGGGGAAAAAGGGGGGAGAAAATGGGGAAGAGAAGAGAGAAAGATTCACAGGATCACAGGTTCGAATCCAGTGCTGGCAAAAATAAAACTCGGCATTTTTTTTTTTGAAAAGTGCTGTGCAGATATTGTGGAGTATTAAATATAATTCCCTGCCCTGTTTTAATGAAACATAAAACAGTGTCACAGATCTTACTTGTATATGATACATTTGTGATACATATACAATATAACACATGAATAGCATATAATCAGATAAATTATGTGTTTGAAACAATTACTGTCCAATGTATTATTTAGTTTATAACATTTAAAAAGCAAAACTATTACCATGGTGCAAAGCAACAAATGTTGCTGAAGGAAACGTACAGAAGCAAGTGAAAATGTAACGGTAAGGACCCAGTTTATGTGCATAAAGAATACAATGTTTAGAGCAGTATTTACAAACACGTCCTAACTCAAAGCAGTAGTGTGAATCAAGATTCATCTCCTTTAAAAATACAGGAACCGATGTTTGGAAATGTTACTGTATGTGTAAAAAAATGTTGTGTTTGATACCCTATCACACGTCACACATATGGTATACGAACAGGTCCATTGGTGTAAACTATACACCAGGAAAGAACAAGAATTAACTTTCAATTAACTGTTAATTCAAATATGGACTAGAGAAGAAATTGAAATTTGAACAGCTGCAGTTCTATGGCAATGAGCAATCACCTGATGAAACCCGTGGGGCCTGATTGTACATAAATACACGCAGTATAAGTTAACATAAAGATGGAGAGAAAATTGGATATAACTGCTATGTCTTAGTATGTAAATGTGTCGCACTGTAAACATAATCTTTATTTGTGGCTTACATGCAATAATAATGTTGATGATTTTACAAATTAGGTTCACATTTACCGTAGTCACTGTCTTTGCGGGACTTGACTTATCTCTGGTGGATGGACCCGTTGTCTGGCAGGAACAATCTGAGAAGCCAGAGAGGATGCCTAAAAAATAAAATTAACATTCATAAGTCAACACACTGAGACACACCTACAAAGAGAGAGAGGGGTAAAAAAAAAAAGAAAAAGAAGAGTTTTGAGTAAAAATGCTAATTTACTTAAATGCTCAAAATGTTATCTATTTTTGATCTCTTTATCAAAAATGGAGTAGTTTGCAAAGTGAATAACAGCAGTAATGATGTTGGTGCTTGAGCAGTCTCAGTTTACATTTACCATAGACATTGCTGGGACATTGCTGTCCCAGGACTGGACACACCACTGGCAGATGGAGCAGCTGTGCCAGATGATGACTCAGCTGCAGAGTGAACTTGTGAACCCATGCCAAATACCAAATGCTAGCATTACATTTTTGGCAATAAACCCACAAAAACATTTCAGCAATCTTGTTGCTGCCTTACAAAATCTAAAGCCTAATCATTTATGAAAAAAGAGATGATGCTCCTGAAACTGGTTAGTTCCTATTATTAGTTGACTTATAACATATAAATGACATGTCAGTGTTTTAGTCACTTAACAACATACCTTGATAACTACTGTAATAAATACTGTAGATTCAAACAGGGCATTATATTATGAGCATTAGGAAATGCTTATATAAAAACGTTGCTGACAATGTCTTGTCAAAGGTTAAAAAAGGGTTTTGAAAGGGGAAACCAGCACTTCCTTTTCTGAGGTTCCTACTGTTGAGGGATTAACATAACATATCTATACTTCGGTTTTGCCTTATTGAATGAAGGATGCCTGAAAATATAGAATCAGAATCTGCTTTATTGACCAGGTGTGTCGGACACACGAGGAATTTGACTGTGGTACATTGGCTCTCAATGTGTATGTACATATCCCCATGGCAAGTAAACAGTAAACCAACATAAGGCTAGTGCAAACAGTGCAAACAATGCAAAATAAGCTGTATAAACAGGCAGTAAACAATGCAGACAGACAAAGGAATGTTCATTGTGAAATGGGATAAATAGGGATAAGGGTTAAAGATAGAGTACTTAAAACTAGACAAGTCTGTATAATCTGTACAATGTATATTTATAGGTGTTGCACTGAGGCTTATTGTCCAGTCATACTGTCATTGGTTAAGTGTTCATCAGAGTGATGGCCCGGGGGAAGAAACTCAGCTTAGAAACTGTCCCTGTGCCTGGTTGTCTTGGTGCACAGTGACCTGTAACCAGTAACCAGTAAAGGAAACACCCCAATGACTGATCTGCTTGAAATAATCTCAAGTCAGTCTCCAGCCAGGAGGTCAACAAGTCTACTCAATACTGGTATCAAATCAGAGTATTAAATCTGAGGATTGCATTCAGCTTTTATTAACAGTTCTTAGTGACTGTTCCCAAATAATGTGAGCTGTCAGTGTGACTGTTTTTTTTACAAACAAAGGAAGTCAACCACAAAATGTCAGTATGGCCGACCTTCACTATCTGGTTGGGTGTATCTGCCTTGTGGTAGTAGAGAAATCCATTACAGACAATGTGACCTGTCCCCTGCCAGTGGAACAGCAGCTGTATCGCCTTAACTGGTGAGGTGGTGGTCCTCTTTGTGAAGCTTTGCAGAGACACATACTCCAGTAGAGTGTCATTATGAATTCCACTGAGTAGGTAGACCTGAAAAATTTAGGCAGATGAAGTGAGTAGGAATTGCCTTGGAAAACTCAGCTTTTAGTTTCCATTCTTGGCTATATTTGTAGTAGTTTTACCACAACCTTTACTTTAGAATACACCCTCTGAAATTCAGTGTTTAAAATGAAGCTCTTGGTTTTTGAATCCACACAAGATCGCAACCTTCAGGCCAAGTGACATAGAAGACGTATTTTCTTATTTATCAGAATGGAAAACACATTAATCTAAAAGTGCAGCTTGACCATTTACTGTAAGTGAAGTTACCTTGGCATTACCTTGGCAGAACGCATTGTTCTATCTGCAGACATAATAATAAAGAGCTGTTTTACAGAATTGAGAAACATTAACTGAATAATGTTACAAAAGCAATGTGACAGATTCAATACCAGCCATAAACTAGTCAAATTGGCATTATTATAACCTATTATTATTAGCTGTTCTGTATCGTGCAGGTGCCTTTTAGTAGGTTTCAAGAGTTAACATCAAGTGTACTAAATGACATTAAACGACAGCAAACATACAGTACAATGCTGTTAACAAATGAGCAAAACATATGTCGGTGTGTCTTCTGATATCATAGTTATATGTAAAACATTTTAAACTGTTTTGTAACTTAACGTAATAATAAGGTTATGTATTAATAAAGTGGCGGTTCGCTCGAACACACACAGTAGTAGCTTCATGTTAGCGTTAACTTCACGTTCATGTAAAGAGCCACTTTCTCAGTGGTATCAAACGTTAAACAAAGTTTGGACACAGAAGGATAATTGTTACTTACGGTTCTTGTGGTTCAGCAACTCTAAGTTTCCCGTAGCGATGAAAGAAACAAAACATGCGGACCGTTACTAAGGTGAAAAATGGACAGCGTTTCGTGATTGGTAGTAGAAAGATGGACTCTGGCATGTGATTGGCATTTGAAAGATAGACCTGGATATGTGGTTGGCTGAATTTACACAGACTCTCGGCTGTCAGGTAATATATATATATATATATACAAATGCTTTTATATATCAAAATCACCCACTAGTATACATGCGCGCCGAAATAGCTCAGTTGGGAGAGCGTTAGACTGAAGATCTAAAGGTCCCTGGTTCGATCCCGGGTTTCGGCAGCGGGGTTGACTTGTTTTGTCCTTTTCCACGACTCTTCAACATAAATATGGATCCATATAAATTCTCATTACTCATGGAAAAACCCTGCCACTGATGCTCTTAATGCAGCTATGGATAAATAATTCAAAGTTTTACCTGGGTTAATGTCTGTATTACAGCATATGTGATCTCTTAAGAGGAATACTTTTTCAGAGTTCTTTTATTTTCATATCGCAATGCTACCATTTGAACGTCAGTTAACTGCACCCGAAACTGCGCCTACTGTTTAGTGCCGACCCGCAGCGTTGGAGTTAAGGAGTCAGGTCCCTTTTTGTCACGACAAACGTTAGTCTATTATGAGATTTTTCCCCGTAATTAAAACATGTGGAAATAAGTTCTACAAAATCCTTTCCGTTGTAAATACAATGCGCATCACAGTAGGCCTAATGATTTAATAATCACGATAAAAGACCTCCTAATGACGAAATCTTGAATACTACTTCATAAACCTACGGAAGTCATAATCACCTAAAAAGGTCTCTCTTTTTTCTGTGAATGTAGATCAGGCTGTGGTTGTACTGGGCAAATTCCCGGTCTAAGTGTGTGTGTAGGCTACCTACCACTGTGAATGTGATCAGGGCTCTCCTGTAGAGGAGACACTAAACTGGATAAATAAAGTTTAAGTAGTAAACGTACTTCCATCTGCAGCTGACCCGATATTACCACTAGAAAACTTTTATCAAACATGGATGTCATTGTTTACAGCTAAAAGGAAGCAGTTCAGATGACTTACCACCAGGGGGCGATCTTGTCCAGTAAATCATTGAGCAGCAGACTCGCTTGATGTAAAGATTAAAAACAAGCAGTGATGATGTCATACATTTAGTCAAGTACTGTGCTTGAGTACAGTTTTGAAGTATCTGACTGTTTTCACTTTTTGATACTTCATACCTCGACTTCACTACATTGTAGAGGCAGATATTGTAGTTTATTTATTTTGATAACATTAGTTACTTTTCAGATTCAGATTAATATAACAAAATACAATATAACCATAAGACTTTAGTGATCTCTGGGGGAAAATCCACAAGCATCTGAGCAGTGACTCAAATTATCAGCATATAAATTAAAATTAGCTCCCCCTTTATCAGCTGAAATGTGATGAGTCTGCATGCAGTTCATACACAACAGTTAAGTTATTATTATTAAAAATAATAATAAAGCACATATTTAGAAAAACAGCCACTGGCCAAAATGCTGTACAAGAATAATATAAACAAAACCATAGAAACAGACAAGATAAAATACAACAGCAAAATAATAAGTACAGGATATACGTGACCACTGGGCTTTTTATGATTCCATGACGTGCATAACCATAATATAAAAACGAGGACAGGAGTCCCTTGCTTTATTACTAAATGATCTCCACTCCATCTATGACATATCTGTGTATTTTGACCTTAGTACATAGTAAATTTTCATTTATCTCTGTCTGTTCACAGTCACGTCTGTTAGGCATCTCACTACTTCCAAGACCAGTTTTGTTGCCTGTGACAGTTCATCTGTTAAGACACTGCTCATTAGTTTGTCTTCACACCTATCCCAGGAGAAATTAGAACTAAGATAAAATGTTAAGAAAACTTCCCAAGCATGAGCAAGGCTTTTTGTGTTGGTGTGTGTGGTTTTTGTTTCCAAAATATGTATAATTCATAACTCATAACTTACACAATTATTATGCATCGGAAAACACACTGAAGTAGTACAGTGTAAAAACAAATAATCTATGTTCTTTGTTTTATGCAGAATGAATGTTGAGCATATTGCATTTATATGGTGTTAATCATTTGCTGACTTGCAGACATTCAGCAGAAAAAAAGAACATTGCATGAATGACACAAAAAAACGTTGAGGGATTATATTATCTGTGTGAAGCAGGTTTGCTGTTAGTCATAGTATAACTGCTGCAGTTTGACTATGTAACCGTGCTGCAAGGCAGCGGTTACAAAATTCTGGCAGTTATCCCTGATTTTCTTTAATGAACAAGCAAAGTGTGGGGAAAAATGCATGTGTTGTGGTGTCATAACCCTTAATTATTTCATTGCTGCACTGACAGTTGAGGATAAGTGGGTGGTGTGATGGAGTCTCAGGTATCTGCATCATCTGGATTAACTGTAAAGTCATATTACAAATCCTTTGTGAGTTTAACGACGCAAAGATACATGTGTCACATCATTCTGACACTTTGTGGTCGTATGGAAACTTTGAAGAGACTTAGTGGAGTTTTATGTGTTAATGTGCTTGTGTGACTGTATAAAATAATTTGTGAATTTATTGTGATCTAGCAGTGTTTGTAGAGCTTGCAAGGTTTCTAATCTGTAGTCTTGTAGACTTTATATTTTAGGCCAGTTACCAAAGATGAAGCAAAATGATGATTATCTGACATCTAAATTTACTGCTCTCTGTACAGTTTATTACACAGGGAGAAGTGATCGAGGGAGTGATTTCCGACACAGCCAAAGTATTTCTCTCAGCAATCATTTTAACATGTTGTGGCAAGTAAACCACAGGTGTAGCTTCTTACATCAATGATGACTGTTCTATTAAAGCACCTCAGTAAGCACGAACAACATGCGAAATACCAGGGAACACCTCAATTGGATGCAGGTGATTGTTAATCAGAGTTACTAATTGCACATGTGCTTTTTTTTGTGCAAAAATGTCAAAATCTTTGCTGTGGCCTTTTATGTTCTTTTGTTTCAGCTAGTTGTAGTAGTCTGATTAAGACATGAGGTGACTCAGATGTCTCAGAGTCAGCAGATTTGTTGAGTTTTGTACGTCAGCATTGTACAGAGAGGACAGGATGAGCACTTTTTGTTGTGTAGGTGCTCAAAATAGGCCCACTTCCTCTATTTACCCCAGCACACTCCCAAGTGTGTTTCCTCTTTTCAGACCTCAGACTGTCCTCATGTAGGCCTCATTGTCCTGGCCTAAATAATCATATTGCTATTGAACTTGGGTAGGAAATAGGATGGCCAGAGCCCAAGGCTAACTCATGAACTGATGTCAGATAAAGTCAGTCATGTTCCTAGAAGAGGCAGAGACGTACACTGTTGCTTTCAAACGTGCTGTCATCGAATGCAGATTGTAGCTGCTCTGCTAGTTACAGGCCTACGACTCCAAGGCCAGTCTGATTCCCTGATGTCAAGAAAGAATAAAGCCCGTCTGCCTGTTCTAGTCAGCCAGGTTACAGACAGCTAACAGTCAGCTACTGTGTCATGATACCATAAATGCAAAATCAACATTATTAACAGAAAGTAACACTGAGATATTGACTAATACAGAGGTGGATCTAGAACATTTTGGACCGGGTGGCCAGGCTGGGGCACAGACTCAAAGAGGGGTGGCACATTTAAAATATGTGTAAAAGGTCAATTAAACCCCTAGTTCACTGAGATAATAAACCATACACTATTAAGAATCAAAATGTTTATTTTGTGTAAAAATGGCACACATACTGCTTTCATTAGCTAACTTCTCTTACTCCTTATTTACTCCAGGCCGGAGACATTGCTTCTGCACAGTGGTTCCCACTGCTGAGCTTATACAGTTGTGTTTCAGGTAAAAAAAAAAATTGTCATTGTTTTTCTTTTTTCATTCATTAAAGCATCACACTTTGACTCTGACAGGGGTGGCCAATCACACTGTAGGGGTGGCCGGTGCCACCCATGGCCACCCCTTGGCTGTGCCCATGGGCTAATGAGGTTATTTATTATGATTGGCAACCCTCTTGATAAACATGAATTTGGTATAACCATTCAGAAAACTAGCTTACTTTTTGTTGTTTGTTTGTTTGTGTGTTTGAAAATGACCCTTTTCTTTGTGCATTCCTGTAACGCACCTTATCTGTATGTTCCCTCAGCCCGGTATGTTTGATATTAGAGATGTGTTGTTACTGACCCATTTGAGAAGCCTGGCTCCACTGTTTGTGTAATATTTAACCAGTTAAAATCTATGGAGGTTTAATCACTTACTTTTGTCTTCTTTCCATCATGAAAATTAGTTTTCTTAGACTGTCAGACAGTTTATACTAGACAGACTTGTTTTGCCTGTGCTTAGTGTGAAGAACAAAAAGCTGGTTCTTTTTACTGCCAGTTTCTTTGTGTCAGTGTTAATTTGCTGCTGCTAATGAGAACTCACTCGTGCTTTAGTAGCCAGACACTCGTGTGAAGTTATGTAATTATGGTTTTTGCATTGTCAGCAAAGACAGCAACAGGTAAAGTGGTGTTTTATGTTTGACCCTCAAAGTGAAATTCTTACCTCAGGGCCTCAGCCAGTGTCATTGTTTCATACACACCTTTCTTGTTTCTCTGTGTTACCCAAATCTTGTCTGATGTGTTGGCAAAAAAATGAAAAGTCAGTTTGGTTTATTTTACAAATCAGAAGTTCCTCCAGCAGTTTCATCACTAGAGCCTTCAGGGCTGTTAGGAAGTTTAACAGTGGGTACATTTGGTCCAGTGTTAAAAGACTTGTTTCTTTGTTATATAGTGTATGTGATATTTGAGAAGGCGGGGGCGGCTGTGGGGGATTTTGGTGTTGCTCAAAGATAAAAAATGAAAAAAAAACAACTGTTTCTATGTTTCTATTTTCATTTTGCTTTCTCTTTCATTTCTTCTGAATGGACTTCAGTCCAGGTTTCAGTTGAGTGCAGTTCTTTCCGTTATTTCAGCTATAGACCCATGTCTCTGCAAACATGCCCAGAATTTCCTA